AAAATGCAGTTATTCCACGTCGAAGAAAACCACCTAAATGGTTTACTGGGACAGGTGAAGCACATGCTGCGAGTGTGCAGCTATACTTTCGGTCACAATTTTATTGTGCTATAGATAATTTATCTATGTGGCTCACTGAAAAGTTCCAAGGCGGAGGATTGCAAACCTATCATGTTTTGGAAGACGTTCTGCTCAAGGGAGAAATAAATAAAGAAGCACAAACCTTGTAGTTGAAATACCATTTAAACCCTGAAAACTTAAATATTGAACTGAAGCATTTGCACGCAAAATTTTCTCCCTGATTACATTGGTGACATACGAAATAAACTTTGTGGGATGATGATTCTGGTTGGTGGATTTTATGGGAATGTCGAAGCACTTTTAAGGTATTATTGGTAGCTTTTCCTACTTCAAGTGAGGCAGAACGCAACTTTAGTAAACTGCGTCGAATTAAGTCTTGGCTACGAAGCACGATGACAGCTCCTAGACTAAATGCGTTAGCAAATTGTCATGCACACCCAACAATATTAAACAGTTTGAATAATGACGAATTATGCAAAACATTTGTTTGTCATGAAACACGACGAAGAAATTTCAATCAATTTTTGTAGGTGTTGTAAAAAAAAGATTAAAAGAACAATTTGAGCAGTTTAATCGCTCAATTAAATTTTATGCGTTATATCATGGAACACCCACAAGTTCAAAAAGCCTCTCAAGCCTCTGATAATTATATTAGGAAGATTTGTATTGTTTTAGTTATCATAAAACAAAGTCTTTACTAAAGTCATTTCTTTTTTTTTTCTTTTTGCAGACCAACCTTCGACATTTCACAAAATTTATCAGTACAGTTTTTAAAAATCAAACGACCCACTCTATGTACAAACATATTTTGCCAACTTGGTCACGTGCCAGTTTGCTTGTTGTCACTCATGTTGAACATTTATTAGTCTCAATGGACAGACTCATCACCCAAGATTTACAGCGTTTAACCTATATCTATGGAATTCTTATTTCCACCAAAACAACATGTGCTCAATCTTGACAAAGAGCTACAAGATTATAATGTGGCACATTCAAAGAATTTTTTCAGTATTTCAACCAGAGTACATTAGTATCGTAATCATGACTTTATTTGTTTCCTTCATGCTTAAATCACTATAAATTTGGTGGTAATATCAGGCAAAGTGCGAATAATATAGAAGTAAATATATTTTTCAGATTGATACATTACAAGGTAAAAGATTTGGCAATAATGGCGTACATGAATTTTGCGTTATAAAGACGTCATGCAAGAACTCAAGTATTATATTTATAACACATTTAGTGCATTTGTTTAGTTAAAATCACATAAACTGGTTATTATTGCATCTATAGGTGTAGGAAGGGGATGGGGGGATGGCTAGGGGCCTTTAGTCGCCATGAAGTTTGTAATCTTGTCTTGCCTACACCCTAAAAATAAAGGATAACATTGCCAAAACGTTCTTACATTATTATTATTAACAATAAGTGTCTTGTAAAGTATATATTAAAATATATTCTGCTCTAATCACATAAAAATATAGAAAAAATTATTGCGGTGGACAAGGCTCAAGTTAGTGGTGTAACAATGGTGCACTGAATGTGCAACAGCATAAGCTAATAGACCGAAACTCACTGAAGAAAAATTTATAGGGGAAAAAATGTGCCACTGTAAAAATTTCTTTTTCAAATACCTGGTCTGATGCCGGCTAAGGTTTATAAGAAATCCAAGAATACAAGAAATACAAATTGACCAAAAATCGCAATTTACAAATAGATGACTGTAAATTTGGATAAATTTGCTTTAAAATTGTCGTTTGTATTGAATTGTCGTTTGTTGCGTTTCTACCTCATTTAATCTTATTCATGCCTAACAGTCATCGTGGCCACTGCAGAAATGGCTTCTGATGCCTAAAAAACTCAGTGAACTGGCCAAAGTCCACTCTAGCCTCAAAATTAAAAACTTTCAATATTTTTCAATACTATGATTCAATCACAGTACGTATTTGGTTGTTCAGCTCATATCATCTGACAATATCGAATAAATTTTATTTACGACTGCTGTTTGTAGTTTAAGCGACGAATTGGTACATTTAGTACATAAAACATTTCATAGACAAGAAGAAAGTATCATATTTTGTCTCTTCTTGTCGTTCGCTTGTGACCCCATCATGCAATACTGTTAAAATGTTTCTTGGTTAAGGTATATACGACCCGATTTTCTCAAAATATTTCTTTGTCGACTCACTGTAAGTCGATCAACAACCAAACCCACCAAACATAGACATTCTGATTCCTGAATTGTGTTTGTGGTGTCATGTCTCTCCTTAATTATGCTTCCTCCTCCCTCTTTTGAAGAAATTCTTGGTACCCGTCACCTCCTCTCTCTTTTAAAGAAATTCTTGGTACCCGTACACGTTTTTCTTTAGAATGTGATGGATGTGAATAAGATAAAATGAAAACAACATGGCGGCGCGTCATGTAAAATTTGTGTCGTATACTATAATATACATAACAAGCTTTCAATTGACCATTGCATTTTTGACTATCGTGTTTCGTTTTCATCAAGCAATAAAAAGAAGATCATTTGACAGCAATGTTGTTGAAGGCATTGATGTTGAAAAACTATCGTCTAGCATGGAGACAGAGTTAGATTTTTAACGATACTCCCGGGTTCAAACCATTTACTTTAGAGTTAGATAAATTACCTCAAGTATTTACGAGTTCTATAACAACGGGAATTACAACAGGTATGGACATTAAATTATTCAGATGTTTCTCTTGTAAAATATCTTATCGTTCACACTCCCTCGTTCACTCAGACACTCCCTCATTCCCTCACGCACATTGTTTCATCGACATTAAGATAGGAAGCATTACATGTTCGTAAATGTAGATCGTCCAGGTTAGTATAGTCCTGAGAAGGACTGTTTTTGTTGTTGTTGACTGACGTTTCAACAACCTTAGCGGTTGTCATCTTCAGAGTCAAATGAGGAGTAAACGTCAAGTTAGGCGTATTTGTTATCTGGTTCTTACGTCATTGTATTGTGTGTACAGGAGATGTGTGGGTGTCAATTGTGTATTGCCGTTGTGAATTAGTGTGTTGTGTAATGTTTTTAGTTGTGATGGGTGATTTAGTTGTGCCGTTTTTAGTTGTAATGTGTGAGTGTTAATTGTGTATTGTCATTGTGAATTAGTTGGGTTGTCGAAACGTCAGTAAAAAACAACAAAAACAGTGCTTCTCAGGACTATACCAACCTGGACGATCTACATTTACAAATATGTAACGATACTCCCGCGTTCAAACCATTTACTTTATAGGAAGCATGGTCGACTTATCATTTCTATTCATCACATTGCTTTTGGGTTCATTATATCATACGATGCATTGAGGAGAGTCTGTAGCAAATATTTTCTATTGTAAAACTGCTGCCTGTTGCTACACATAGTGATGTAGATAAAAGGAGAACTATAACATTTATCACGACAAATAAATAAGCTTTTAAATCGAACTTAGATATATTGCTCAATCAAGTTTTTTTATAACATACAAGAACAGCAAAGCAGAAACGTCTGTTAAGTTTTCTGTCAAATAAAGCATTATTAAATCTTCCCATGTCATTTATAATGCAGTGTTGACTCATGATATTCATTTTCTTGAAGTTATGAGTCCTCCCTCTCTCCTTCATTCTCTTCCTCCATTCTTTCCGTTGTTCAATCACAAACTCCCACTTTCTTTCACACAATCCCTCGTTCACTCACGCACTTTTCTCTTTCTCTCTTCTCATTCTTTTTTTCACATTTACATTTCCGTGATCATTCATATGCTAACTTCCTACCTCCGAAACCTCAACACAATAGTTTGTTTTTCTCACTTCTTGCTTTCTCAAGAAAAATCTTTTATTTTCAGCATTGTTCGACAGTATGAACATCTCCTTGAAAAGTTGACGTCATTCAAACTAAAGACGAAAAGTATGTTTTGAAATCTCACTTCATCACAAAATCTAAAGTGTTATGGGTCATGAGTGAACTGGTATGAATTTAGTGATAAGTTATAAAAGAGCTTTTGTTTATTTTTGGTAATTTACTCTTTTTGTAGCGAAGACTTTGAATGACAAATCTATCTTCAGCCAAATACTGAATGAAAATGAAATTGCATTTTACATACCTATGTAAGTACTTTTTAGAATGAGTTTTGACAATACTTTACTCCATGTTTATTCTATTACCTCCACTCCAGTGGCGTAGCTGGCCTGCAGCCTCGTACCCAGCGCTTGGCTTGTTTTGCTTTGAGGTATTTCATATTTTATGAATTGAAGGATTGATTGTCACACGGCGTGCATGCTTGCGCGGGACGGTACGCGCAAAAAAAATGGGGAAATCGCTGGGGAGCTTCCACACGTAATCGGCTTGTTACAGCCATGCAAATGCGCGATGCCCACGCTCGCCATGTAAAGCACCAGGATACGAGGCTGGCTGGCCTGCATGTTTGGTCTTGCAATGTAAATATTTCGATGTCAACCGACTGTATTAAAGTGCTTATATTACGAATTTTAGCCCCCCTTTTTTATGAGCTTAATTGAAAATTTGGATTGTTTGAAGAACTATGACATGTCGCTGGACTTAAACAGATAAATATAGGTTTCTTAATTTTGCCTCCAAAGTCGGGTACTATTTGCGAATTTTTTACGTCGCCATATTGATACTTGTGACGTAGATAGTTGAACACGTCTGTTTCCGTCAATATAATATTATATTATAGGAGGTGATTTTGTTGTCGTTTTTCTTGTCTTAAAAACAAATAATGACAGTATTTTTAATAAAATATTAAAAAACAAGTTTTCCGGAAAGTATGGCCTCAAATCAGTGCTCAGATAATTCGAATTCGATGTCTGAATGCGTATCTGCTTCGAGCTCGGAATCCGTGGGTTATGTCGAGCATTTAAACGACTTCGCATATGACGATGAAAAGATCTTTTTGCTCCCTCCAGTTCCATGGCATTACTGCTACCAACTTCATTGGCCTGTTTAAAATCAAAATGCTTCCACCATTGAAAATAAAAACACTACAAACAATGATTTTCATCATTAGATAATACCTGAAGCAATTCAAAATGAACCAGCTTTCATTTTTTGTTGCTCCAAATTGTGTACATTCCATATTTCGCACTGTGCCCCATAAAATCAAAGCATCCATCTCCTGACCATGTCTGGAAATCCGCATCACTTTTTTTTCATCTTCAATTAACTTTGACTGATAGCTTTCCCAATGCTTCAGAATAGCTGTAAACAAGAAGGTGCGTTGATGCACATGATAAGTGGACACACTATTTGCTGAGAGATTCATGTGCTTGAACATCAGCATGGCCTGACTTATACTGACACCAGACATCAATATACCAAAATTAGTCGTAACGTTTCCAGCTGGATATCTTCCCAAAACCATAGGTTGGCTTCTCCACACAAAGTTCTTTTCAACACATTTACCACAAATTTGCTCTACAATGGCCATCGAACCAATGTTTTTAATGTGTACTTTTGGATTTTCAGCCTTGCAGTTAAAGCAAAATTTTTCAAATAACTCAACCAATGAGATAATAACACGATTAAGAAAATTCATTATTATGAAATACAACAGAGATCTAATTCTTTATAAGATAAAATACCTGACTGTATTACTTGTGGTATCTTCATCTAAATCTTCACTCTGACTAGACTGTTCGAAAGAGGAGTAGTCCATGTATGATTCTCCTTCAAAAAGCTCTTCAGCATTCCCCTGCATTCCATCGTCTATATTAATGCTGGTCACCACGGATGTATTACGATTTTCCCTGATTTCGCTTCGATAATCATTTTGCAACTTCTGGGCCTTTTTCTTCAAAGATGCTTTTGTATTTTATACCAGCTTAAAGTCTTGTAAAAATGTAAGTTTTTTCTTAAGACGATGGCACGATTTACATGGAGACTGGGATTCACAAATATCTTCACCAACTGCATGTAGTTCTTCTTCAAATGGCGAATCGTTTGCTTCCCCAGTGCATACTTCAACATGCTCAGCTCCATCACTAGTAGATGGTACTTCCTCATCGAGAGAACATGTTTCCTTCAGCGATGGCTTATGTAGAGTATGTCGAATAATCTACAAAACTTATATTGAATTTACATATGAAAAAAGAGAAATTAACATAAACAAGCGTAAACTTACTTGTCTTCGCTTTCGATCGGTTATTTCGCCCTGTAATGGTTCAGGAATCCCAGCCACGTCAATGGTTGGGACAGCATTTTTCTTTAACCTTCTTTTGAGCTTGACTTGCACGCTCAAATTAAGGTCAAAACAAAAATCTTCAAAATGCGCAGAACACAGACACGAGGTAGTGGAAGCCTCAAAACCCGGTCTATGTTTACGCACAAAATTTACCCATTTTCTATGTCTTTGCGGCTCTGTTTCTTTTTTAAGAAACAGATGCATCGACATTCCTTCGGTTTTTGAATCATTGGCGCAACTAATTTGATTAGGTCCGTCAGCAACACAGCGTTTTCCTCCGCGTTTCTTATTAAGATTACTAGTAGAATACGCCATGTTGATATATGTGTTCAACTTTCTACGTCACAAGTCATTAGCCTACCGATCAAAAAGTTCGCAAAAGAATGCAGAAAATCGTGACTTTGAACGTCCGTAAAATCACTTTCACCAATCCAATTTCAATTATAATTGCAGATTTAAAATCACTGAAACAAGGTCTTTCAATTTAGCTAATAAAAAAGTGGGGCTAAAATTCCTAATATAAACACTTTAACAACAGATATTTAATCACGGTTAGCACTATCGTAGTCTACTTTTTTAATTGTACGTACATAACTCCTCGATTCAACTGTGTTGCACGAAACGTAGTCAGTCGGATGTTTAAGTAACTGCGTAGGTAACTTGCATCGAAATTGCATGAAGAGTTGTTTTTTTTAACATAAAATTGCATAACGTTTAATCAGTGATTTTGCAAGCGAGTGAATGCAAATAACGAAAGAACGACGATGAAATAAAAAAACACTTACCTTCTGCAGTAACCTTAAAATATTGCAGACTATTGTCGTGTTTACGATGCAAACGAAAATTTAAGAAAAAGATTCAAAGTGACATTCTGACTACTGAATTCGCATTTCTTTAAAAACTTTATTTTATCACCTGTACAACCAATTTTATATGAATGTGCTGTGCAGAATGAAACAACCGTATACTTGTCCAAATATTCATATTATGCTGTACGTGCTGAAGCATCATAGTATTTGAATAACCTGCGGCAAACCTTGAATCTAAGCGAGAGGGTATGAGAAGTTGCGTAACTAAAACCACAGAATAGATATCTTAAATAGAAGGCTCACTCGTGTCGGAGCCTTTGATGTTTGTGTTCCCAACTTTCTGAAGCAAATTTCAAGCAGACACGCCTTCCACCAAGATACTTCCGCTAGATCGCTATAGAAAATATAGATGTTGTTGCAAATACATCGTTTTTCACTGCAAAAACTGTAAACCTTATCTTCTTCGCAAGATGATAACGCTTTGTAAAAATTTCGGCAAACTTTTGCTTTAAACGTGAATTATTAGTAAAATAGCATTCTCGTTTAATACTATTCCATATTGACCCAGCTATCAAAATCATGTTGTCTCAACGTTGTACCAACGTTCGTCGAACTTTGACTCAACGTCGGCGACCAACGTTGAGTGAACGTTTTTTTGGTGAACTCGTAGGAACGTAGTGGCGACGTTAGGATGAGAACGTTGGGATGTAATGTAATTTCAACCAAAACCAGACATTCATACAACGTTTATCCTACGTTCATACAACATATAGCAGACGTTCATACAACGTTTACCTGACGTTTATCTGACGTTGTTTTAACACACAATTACTGATGCATTATTTGTGAAATCATAAAACAGCCTTTCCAATGATAAGAGCTAAAGTTTAGTTTCCATATAATCAACTTTTAACTCATCAATTTTGCTGTGCGTGTTTTAATATACATATTTACAAAAATGCTATATAAATCGATTCCAATAAGTTGCCTTTTCGGACCTGCAAGAAAATAACATATATGATTATTAGAAAATGCGCATTCCATTTTGCTTTACTTATAATTGAAGGAAAATGAAAAACACATGCTCACTTTCTTTAAGTGCACATGCCAATAATGCCATTGTTTATTTTTCTCAACTTACACAGACAAAAAAACTTATATGTTAACTATGAGATTACGAAGTAAAATAAGTTGAGTTCTCCCTGTCTAAGTTGAGAATATCAAACAAAGAAAAAATGGCATCTATATACTTTACCAAACAGCCTATGATGATAATGACATGTTACCTTAAATCTGGAACCACCTTGCTTGCCTGGAGCATATTTTAAAAATTCGGCAATTTGCTCTTCAACGTTGGCCTCGCTGCACCCTTTAATAGCTCTGAGGCAGGCTTCTAACAAGTGAAACGAAACAGAAAAGACATACTTTACATAAATTACATAGATAAAACACTAAATCATTTCCGTAAGCTGAATGATAAACAACAATTCATTATAGTGACATATGCAAAAAAGTTTAATGTATTAGCTTTTAAAACTTGCAACAATATTCTTTATGACAAGGAGCAACATAAATGGCTGTTTTTCTAATTCATGAACGAGAAAAAAGAGACAAAACATGATACTGCTGCAGCAATCATTATCGTCTAATTGTGCTTACTTGTTATAAGTTTGCAGAGAGCAAGGTGCTGAAATGGTCCCTTTGACTTTCTGCCTTTTCAACTATATTGGAACCATAGATAATTTGTTCCCAGCTTTGTCATAATTCTTCTAACACTGTTTGCACAGGTGTTTGCGAAAAGTGCTACCAAAAACTGCAGCTAGTAAAGAAAGTAAAAGATAAATTATATGGAAAAGTTCAATTTAGAAATATATAAATAATCATTTTGATCTCGAATTGCAAAACAAAACCATCCAAAGTGAATGGGGAGGGCTTTTAGAAAGACCAGTTTCTTCGTTAAAATTTTCCAGCACAAATAAAACGACACACACCTAAGAGCCATTTGAAGTATAGTAACGTATTTAAATTAATCAGAACACGACAATGCTCTCACGAAAAACACGATGCTAGATTCATATAGTTTAATCAAATAACCTGACCCCCCTAACGTCACGAAAATTGTCATTAAAATTACGTTTCAGACTTTGACAAACGTGCATGTTTTCAAGCTTCAAACACAAACAGTAGAAAAAAAGTCAACATTATGTTACGTAATTGCAAATGAAACTATCGTTTTCACGTTTCCAAACCGATAAAGGGGAAGGGCTACTTACTTTGTCACATATTTTTACGTAACACTTGAAAGAGTCATGCATAAAAAATAGTTGGTGCCAATAAATATTACTAAATACGTATGGATAGTTAACTTTCCAAAACTTACCAACTTTCTTCTGGAATTTTCTTCATTAAGATTAGATGATAGGTGCTCGAGTTCTTCAACCGAATGTAAGGGATTAGGTACAACATTTTCCAAAATTTCGTGCTCGTCTACACCTTTCTTAGCGCACGCAATATTGACAGAGCACGCAATATTGACAACGCTTCTTCTTGCTTATTAATTAGTGTTTCCAGTTTGGTGAGAACTGATCTTTGGAAGCCTTCAAGATAGATAAGAAATAAATAGAATAACTTATGTATAACCTACGTAATATCTTAAAAATATAAAACATTACAACATGCTAACAAGACAATTCAAATAAAACTCGCATCAAATTGCTAATTGAATACGCATACATAATAACAACGCTATTCAAAAACTATATACTATAAAAAAGGTAACATTAATGTTTGGTTGAGAACGTCTTCCTGCAGGTGTTATGTTCATAAAACTTGCCTAAGGCGTTTCGTGGGATGAAAGGTCATGCGCATCTGCAAAGCAATCATGTGTTGCAGTTAGTTGTGAAAAAAAAAACGATTTCAAATGACACGAAATGAACGTAAATGAAAACGTAACAACATAACATGCAATAATGAATTGTAAGAAAAGCTTGCCTAAGACACCACTGTTTCGTTGAGAATGTCTTTCTCTTGTTGTGCCAGTTGTAAGAATTCCTTGTGAAGAGACGTTCTTGTATCTACAGAGAAGACACGTACTGGGTTTAACATATATCTTTATTGCACGCACGAACGTCATTTAAATTAAGGCACTACAAGTTTCAAAAGTCAGAAACAGAAAGGTGACTAAAATAAAAAACCTCGAAAAAGTTTCATTTAGTAGTTTGATAGCAAACGCTAAGAATTAGATTTGAACGAATGTATTTTGATTAAATTGTGGTGAACACAACTGCAATTTTAACTATAACTAACATTTTTTCAACTATTTACAACAACATTATAAAGGACCAACCCCTACGGTACCTGTAGAACATACATAAGCCCTATAATGGAACGATGGGGGTAGAAAAACAGTAAATGTACAATACGAATGTTAAAGTTATTTAAAAAGAATCAATGAAAATTATTTCAACATTTTAGTGGACATATTATATGAAAGTTGCTGATTAGTCAGTTCTGAGACAGAAAACTGACCACTACGCTGAGATGGTGTCCTACTAGTAGATGTGGAAGTTATTGCATGATCCTTTGTGTTTAGGATTTCTACTGCTAGCTCACCGTCATATAAATCTAGATCAACATTATATTAGGATGAAAAGAGAAATTTTTACATGCATGTTTCTGTCAAAAAATTGTCCACTTGACTTGTAAAAGGATTATAGTTGCGCTTATACCTTTTCTGCAAGGGAGATCAAGTCGCTGTACACCGGCAAATGTAAAAAGAAAAATCACTCATTACATTTAAATGCAACGTAGCAATATGTGAAAAACTGCACTCCTTTGAATAAAGCAATGGCCTATTGCATTGAAACTACAGTACTTACTTCTAGAATTTGTTGATAAGAGTTCATTGACGGCTGTTATCATATTACTTTCAGAAGATTCCAATAAATGCTTATTGTTCATACAAAAAGATGTGCAACGTGCAGCAGGAGGTAACTGAGGGCTCTGTGTTGAATTACGGGTTCATCACTGTCATCATCGTCTAATGCGAAAAAATACACGATCATCGCATAACAATGTTTATTGAGTACTAAGCTATACTAAAAATACAAAAATTTGGTTAAGTAAAATGCTTGCCAAAGATGTAATATTTAAGTAGCTACGGCAATAGATTCAGTCTTAATCCTATCTTTTCCCATCTTAAGGAAGAAGACATAGCCAAATTCAAAGAACTTATTGTGTTTTGCACACAAGATCCTTCATTGACTACAGCCATATACGCACGTAGGTAGTTATAACTGTAGAAATAAAACACTTTTCTGTGTTACTGTGTACATAAGTTGTTGTGATGGGAGAGAAATATCTAGAATACTATATAACCTACTTTCTATGTCACTGTAATCTGGAAATTCTTCCATACTACTTTTGAAACGAGGACGTTTTCGTGGCTTGTCGTTGAATGACTCATCATCTGATTCAATGTTTGAAGTGGCAATGGCTCTTCTAGAGAACTTTTGAGAACTTAGTAAAAGAAAGGTTTAAATTTAGAAAACAGAGCATTAAATCGTTTATAGCACTTTAGAGGCTTCAGTGGGGAAAATGTGATAAAGCTGGCAGCAAGTTTATAAAAAATTCCTACACCAGACATAGCAATGATTATTTACAATCAAAATGGGAATAACTGGAAATCCAAAACAAATGTAACCTAAACGAAAAATTCATACTATAATCACAAGACATCATATTAACCTGCAAATGTGAATATTATGACTTTATGTTTTTTCCAATCATTTTTGTCTGGCAATTCCAGCTTCTTTACTCTAGCTAAGACATTTGTCCTCGGCCAATAGCAACACAAAACCTAAAGTGTAATTAAATGAAAGTTAGTTGCATTGAACTGTACGTATAAACTCAGGAAGACCTTCAAGATATGCCATATTACATTCTATGGGAATTCATTGTCCTTTACATATTACTACAGCCATCATCATTAGGCATTGCATCAATGCATCTTAAAGCTCTATTAGCAGCAGTCCAGTTTTTTTCTGTATTGCGCCCAATTATGTTTCATTATGATATGAACTAAAATAAACAATAAAATGTAACTGTCACTTTATTTATTTTTGATTGATTTAAACATATCCTAATGTTACAACCCATTCCCCCTAATTAAGTCCTGGTGATCACAACATTTAGCAAAATGTTTTAATCAAAACATGATGAGTCTCATTCACAGGTCATGATAAGTTATATGTCTCCTCAACCATTTGTAACTTATTCTCGTCTTTACATGCATGTATCATACCTATTTTATACATAACCCTAAAATTTTAAGTATAACATTATAGTTTACTTGCTAACAACAGCAAATGGAAAATGTTCTAAGCAACTAAAGAAAAATAATTTAACTGACATTCCAAGCTTACTAAAGAAATGGGCTTAGTTAATAAACCAATCTAAGGGGAAAAAAGTGGGTTGTACACTACATATTGTCTTGAATGCAATTATTGACAAACAATACTTACTAGTATTATAAAGCAACAATGCATTGTTATGAATAAAGATTCAATTACCTCTTTGTAAAATAATATCACTGTTTAAAAACTGCTGTGATTAGCAATAAAAACTACAACTATTTAAAGGTTTAAGGCTACATGATTCTTAATCAAAAACATTTTGTAAATCACATATTCACTAACCCCATGTTAAAAAATATTAATCATCATCACAGACGTATATATCATAAAAAGTTTTGAGTTTAATCTTATAAAAAAAACAAAAAAATTAACAAAGTTTTTGTCGAAACAATTGAAAATTAAGGCTATAGTAAGGTGTATGAAATATTAAAATATATTTGTTAAATGTCCACAACAATAAGACAATAACCCGCAGGCTTTTATGAATTTTGGCGATCAATAATTGGCCTTAACACTAAAGATAAAAAAATTGGCCTTTCTTAATAATGAGAACAAATTTCCTATGTCAAAATCATTCAAAGAGCCTAGAAAGCAACATGAGCAAAGTAGCACACACATTCGTTGTTTTACGCATTTATCATCAATCCATCATAAACATTTCCACCATCCTATGTCGATTTGGATCATTTAAATTTTAAAGCTTTTTTGTGCTTATCAACACACCAAAGTACTTAAATAAGATGTTGCTTGCATTATTTGTGGCTAAAAACAATAAATTGTATGCTTTATTTAATCAACGGTAATGAGACGTTCGTTGTTCCTCATTGTCTTTGTTTAACAATAACTACAATATCTAAACAAAAATTTCACCTTACTTTGATCACGTTACAATATAGCAGTACATGTTCCAAAACACCGTTTCTTGCTAAAGTTGCGCCAAGAATAAGAAATGAAACGGGTCAACCGTCAACCATTGATCGCAAAATCGTGTTACACGTGAATATACATGTTGAATTATTCCTTGCCCAAGTTCTGTGTTTATTCAAATAAAATCAAAACAGCATGTACTTAGGATGAAAACGTTGATCAGCTCGTTCTTGGATGTGTTGTATCAAATATATATTCTTTCTTGGGTGAAAAATTTTAATAGCTAAAGATCGACTTGCCACTTGTAATGAAGTGTACAGAAGACACGTGCAAAATTGTATTCTGAGCCCGCAAATTTTCTTAACGTCTACAGCGATTTATGTTTCTTTTATTGGATACAGTGCTGCACTCTTGGGGGGAAATCCCCTACAGTAAGGGACCACTGTCAACTGAAGTTTCGTTTTCAAACTTCACACTGAACTGAGCACACAACTTATAATGTGATTCTTGTAAATTCCCAAAATGTCATTGGCAAAGTCACTTGCCATGCGGTTGACATAAACTCGAAAAACTGGACTGTCACTGACAATTGTAGCATCTTGATACTCTTCAATGACTGTCTTCTTTTGTTCTTAAATAAAAAACCAGTCAAATGATTATTGTAGCAATACAACCCAGCAAGTATTTGCTAGACTAAGCTTACCAATATCACAACTTCTACACCTAAGTACAACAAGCAAAAATCACAATAAGCAAGTTCAACTTTGTTCATATTGAGACCAAATTGTGCTGCAGGAGCACATTGCCAGTTAAAACAACAAGCTAAAAGTCATGCATGAAGCAAAGCATCATTTTCAACCAATCAAGAAAAATACATCAAACCATTTACAACTCGTTTCTTTTGAAAATTATTAAGATAAATGCTGCAATTATGATGCATTTATGAGTGTTTGGCAGCATGTATGTACCTATTAATTTCTTCGTACCTTCTGGTAGAAGAACTGCTGTTGCCTGTTGAAGACTTTCTGAATCTGAGTCTGCGCTATCAACAGCACCATAATTAGGCATCTCCTCTTTAAGTAATATTCCTTTGCCTTTATAATTGAAGTTATATGTATAAACACATTAATTAATTTATTATGTGGAGGTAGTTATTAAAAAAACAAAAAATAAAATATTTGTCTGTTCACACCACCATTATGCCTCAATGCAGTCAATGCTATGACCAAAATCTATTGATAATCCTATAGATTGAACTTGACATGATGTAAGTACTTACTGTGATCCAACAATGATGAAACTGCCACTTCAATGTCTACCTCACAAACTCTTACAGCTTCTTCCATGGCAGTATCATGAAGGTCAGGAATAATTTCATGCAGTTCAGACATTAATGGAGTTCCAGAAAAACTTGCCTGTAAAAAAATTATTCATATTATCTGAGATACAATAATTTCAACTTTCAAAATAGGTAGGTGAACAAAAAACAGTAAAAAAAGCATTTTCAAAGTAAATGTGTAATAGGAATAAATGCAAGCTTATAGCATACATTGATCTTGACCTTCTTAAATTGTTTATGATGATTGTCCATTCCACATTCAACCATATAATTCCTGATTGAATTCTTGGAATCTGCACTGAGCAATTTAAGCATTTCACTGTTGGTCCAATAGATATATCCTAGCAAAAACAATGTATGTATACGTATAACAATTTATCCCTTAAATTACTCAAAGCTATGAATACAGTACCTTGTTTTCTGGAGCATCTCCTGCATTAGCGTGATCATCCATTTCCAAGGATGAGGAATCTAGATCAGCTTGAACTGGTCTCATATATGCAATTGCCAGCCCTAGGCCAGAACTATCACGAAAGAAAGTGGACAGAATATCCAGTATTTGGTGGAGGGGTAATAAGATACAAATCTTTGGGTGATAAACCACTCCTTAATATCTCAAAACCACCGCCTGATACCAGCCGGGGATAGATCTCTTCTAATTTTGCCTTCACTTTGGCTGCACTTGAAACTTTATGGAAAGAATTACGTCTACGTCCAACACCAGCTTTTTGTAACACCGACTTTGCTGTCCCCACGAATTAGATCGACCACGTTTTGCTGGTGGATGAGAAAACATCTTTCCATTGTCAGCTCGATTATACGGTGCAAACAACCGCCTAAACTCCTGCTCTCTTATCGAAAAAGATGATCTTGATGTGGAAGCTTGAGATGGCGAAGCCTGATGTTGTTCTTCCAATGTGCTGTCTAGTGTTGACGATTGGACACGTTTGAGCAGCTCTATGATCGGCAAGATTACCATCTTGAGCAGTCGATGAAGATCTAAGACTTGCTGATCGAGAAGAGTCTGGATCAGTAAATTTCCTGCTCGGCGAAGTAAAGCTGCTGCCTATCGATTTTTCGCTGCATTATCATCCCCCATACCAAAGAAATCGTTTCTTTTGTACAGAATACCTAAGTTGCTTCGAAGGACAAAGATCGTTAAAGTTATTGCATAAATATTGCAACTTATAATTTATTGATAATAACAATTTTTGGCGGTAAATAATTATAAATAAATTATAATTTTATTGAGTAAAATTTGATGTTTTGCGAGTCACGAATAATGTTACGTCATCATAATGGAATGTTCAACAACGAAATGCGTTTTAAGAGAAATTGTACAGGACAATACCCGATTATGAAATTCCAGAATGGAATACGATCAAGAAAAAATGCACATTGCAGAGGACAAAATGTGCATTAGTAATTAAAAATATAGCTTTTAATTTTGGCGGAGACCATCCTCCATAACATTAGTTTTGAAATTGCCATATGCAATACTATCATTTGTGTGCACTGATCTGATAATAGACTGGATATAGCTTCTACAGGTAGCAAAAGTGAAGCCTAATTATATATGCAAAATTCACTTCCGGGTACCACGGCGAGATACAAATTACTATAAAAACGTATGGCGGATAACGTTTACAAACATGGATTTTCGAATATTTAAGACCTTTCGCGAGTCCTTACTAACCTCAAGTATTAGTCATGGATAAAACAGGTTATGCGAATCGATTTGACATCAAAATGATTCCTATAGCTGTAAAATATCGACGTTAGTGTTGATTTAAAAGTTGTACATGCGAAAATGGATTTTGTCCCATCGTTGCCAATGCAAGATAGTTCACTGCTTGCTTTCCAATTTCTGAGGCATTTATGATCTAGTATACGTTTCAGTTCTTTAGAAATGAGGTGAGTTACTTTTTTTATCATTCTTTCTTTATGTTGAGAGATTGTTGACATTTTATTTTTGCTGTAACTTCATTTTTTCATGAGCAAAGTACTACTGATGCTTAAACAAGACAAGTCTATTTAGTTTCTTTAGCACTTTATCTTTAGTTTCCATTTCTGTAGTTGTTTTTCTCAAATGGTATAGTCGCACTTTGCGCTTAATTATTTAAAGAAGTATGATTTTCATTGACATTAAAATCTAACAAATGCGTTCTACACACATTAGGACACTTTAGTAAACTGCTTTTGAAACATCATGGTAATGTAGCCAGCCAGGTATGAATTTGCAGGCCCTTTAAGAGTGCAAAAGCTGGGTGCATTGTTTATAATCATCTTGGTTTTGGTTTGTCCCTTAAGCAGATTTAAATTATTAACAGCAACATAAGACTGTGTCCACAGTTTATAATTATAAGTTTATCCAATTGTATCTAGTATATCAGTTTCACATTGTCTTGTGCTAATTCCTTTACAGCCATGAATACTGCTTCTCAGCAACAGTTTATTGTCTACAGCTGTAAATTGGTCAACTGTTCGATTATTAAAGTCACACTTCACAAGTGGAATAAAGCTCTTGTCTTTCTTATCACTACAAGACTCGAGACTGATGATCAAACTATTGCTGAAAAGGATTCTAATGTCAACTGCAATTCATATTTATACCATCCCTAACTACATTAATATCTTAAGAATAATTTTAATCTTTTTGGAAAAATATTTAAGGCATTAATATTACATTCATACTAACTATGATCTTCTGGAATTTGCTTAGCACTTAGAAGAGGAAAGTGAAATTTACTGAATGTAAAAAGGCAGTGATATCGTACATGGCTGGCTATATTGCCCAGATGGTGCAAAAGAAAATAAACTGTCCTGTTTGTCATGAAGCAGTCAGTTCAAGAAACCATAAAAATGAGTCTGCTTTCTGGACTTTAAAAGACAGGGGTAATTTGTTTAAGCCAACAGCAAGTGTTATAGTAATATGCAATGAAACAGAGAGGTGCTTTCAGAGAATGTTTGGCAGCTACAAATGGAAATTTACCGCAAGGGTAAGTAATTCCTGATGGTATTGCTGTGTCTGTATTAAATGGTATAGATTTGAGGACCACATTCAGTGGTCTCGACACACACATGTTGAATACTACTGTTCACGAAAATCATATTTACTCATTAAGACCATATCTCAATGTTACAGCAAGGTGCTGCGAGTATATCATTTGAGAAAAACAACTACAGAAATAGAAACTAAAGATAAAGTGCGAAAGAAACTAAATAGACTTGTCTTGTTTAAGCATCAGTAGTACTTTGCTCATGAAAAAATGAAGTTAAGCAAAAATAAAATGTCAACAACCCTCTCAACATAAAGAAAGAATGATAAAAAAAGTTACTCATCTCATTTCTAAAGAACTGAAACGTATACTAGATCATAAATGCCTCAGAAATTGGAAAGCGAGCAGTGAACTATCTTGCATTGGCAACGATGGGACAAAATCCATTCTCGCATGTACAACTTTTAAATCAACACTAACGTCGATATTTTACAGCTATAGGAATCATTTTGATGTCAAATCGATTCGCATAACCTGTTTTATCCATGACTAATACTTGAGGTTAGTAAAGAGTCGCGAAAGGTCTTAAATATTCGAAAATCCATGTTTGTAAACGCTATCCGCCATACATTTCTATAGTAATTTGTATCTCGCCGTGGTACCCGGAAATGAATTTTGCATATATAATTAGGCTTCACTTTTGCTAACTGTAGAAGCTATATCCAGTCTATTATCAGATCAGTGTTTGTGTGACGCAGTAGTTACATAATCATTTATTTTATTATTTCGTGACGCACGCGCGAGAAACCGTAATAGCAAGTATTTTATTGGTCATTGGACTTGGCGTTGCCCACACGCGTGGAATTTTCTGATGATAGAGTATAACAAGATCCTGCTTTCTTTGCTTTTTATCATTTCCGTTACATAGTGAGATGTGAAAGAAACCAGTGTTTGGTAAAGAATTTCAAGTCCCACCTATTCCTAAACGTACAGACAAAAACGATCGGACGTAGGTGAGAGAAATTGTTTCTTATTTTCTTGATTTGTACTTGTGCTTTTATGGAAATTTACTTAGATAAAACAAAAATATTTATGAAATATTGGGAAATACTACGAATACCGGCCAAATGTAGCTATCTAATAAACCAAGTAACAATAGCAAAAGGTGATTTTATTTAAGTTGAGAGTGTGAACCTTGCACGTAATTCGATAAATATTTCCATACATGTTGTCAGCGTAAACTCTTGTTTCACATCTTCACATTTTAATACATTATTCATGATTCCGAAGACAAATTTTGTATCAGAACTTCTTGAATTCTGTACACTACTTATAATGTTGACGAAAAATTATGAAAGTTTAATAATTCTACCGCATTTCATGTCATTTTCAATTTGTGCATTTAAAATTTATAAAATCATACGCAGTGGAGTCTGTTCAAAATCATTCAAGAATAGCGTAGATATTTGTAGTATAGCTCCTTCCACTTGGGCAAGCGAAGCTGTCAACAAACGCCTTTCGGAAAAGTTCTCCAAGCCATTTATTGTGAAAATGAGGAATTCACTTGTTTAAAATTGGTTAGAGTATATACATAATATATTAATCCTTACACGGTATTTGAATATGCACATGAAAAACATGTGACTTGGACGAGATTTGAACTAGTATCCCGAAGGTGCGAGTTCAAATTTCGTCCAAGTCACATGTTTTTCATGTGCATATTTAAATACCGTATTAGGATTAATATATTATAAAATTGGTTATAAAGGCTGAAACACACTAGACAGTCGCATTAGTCGCGCGTCTAAAACTACCGCTTTGCGTAGTTACTAAGCTAGTAGCGTAGTCCGCGTCATCTAGTCGCTTTGAAAGTGCAACATGTTGAACTTTTGACATTGGTCGCTTCAGTCGCTTTACACTGATTGGCCAATAGACACTTTTAATTTCGTAATGCATATCATATTCCCCTGTTATAAAAATCATACGGAATTTATAGATTATACCTTGGAAAACGAAGGCAATATGGAGTGAATTCACACTGGAATCTTTCAGTTTTTATATGACTTATCAAATAGGGACAATAGGAGCTACAAACTGGAACCCTAATTCACAACCCAAATGCACAGAATAAGATTGTCACGATATACGCGTAATGAGCTATGATCATATTGGCGTGTTTTAACTGGTTTGTTCTTTTTTCTCCGCAGTACTGACATTCCTATATTAGTAAATATAATAAAGGCCAAAATATAAAGTTTAAGTGATGCCTGTGTCTGTAACAAACAGAAATCTCCGCCATGTTCAATAGACGCCACGGTAAAAGTCGCGATGGTCGCTGCATGTGTGTTTCTAGATAGATAGATGATCTATTTCTTAAAACTGGCAGCCATATTGCTGAAATACGTTTAAGATTACATATAATACATACACAAATAATATAACTAAATTACGTCTTCAATGAGTTATAAGTTATAAAACTATTTCTAAAACGATTGGTATTAAAGTTAGTATTAAATGAAGATTGAGTCCTAAGTTCCATAGTTGAACGTTCTAAACGAGGAGGCAAAAGGTAATGAATCTTATGTGAGGAGTCTGCTTCTATCTTCTGAAACAACGCTGTTGTTATATCATTCCTCCTTTCGCTAAGGCGTTGCAAATTAGTAAACTGCTGAGCGTTTTCATATTCTTGATGAGGCAGGATTATTTTTAATGCTCGCTTTTGGACTGACTCTAGGTCATCTGACAAATATAATGTCAGACTATTGTGGAACACTAGGCAAGCATACTCTAAGACAGGTCTTATACACGTTTTGTAAAATTGGAGCAATTCCTTGACTTCGATATTTGCTCGTTTTAGTTGAATAAGATAATAGAGGCGTTTACGGCATTTCTTAATTATTTCATTTACGTGGATGTTCCACTTAAGGTTTCTGGCTATAACCAATATCTAAACTTTCGCGTGTTGGACAATATCCAGTGTAATGTTATTGATGGTAATTGGTTGAAGGTCATTGGTAATAGATCCAAAACAAATTCGCATCTCTTTACATTTGGTTTCATTTAACTGGAACTTATCACGCGGGATGCTGTTCGCTAATGTGTCCATTTGGTTTTGTAAGTTACTTGTTTGATCTTTCTCAATTACTTCACTAACAGTGGTATCGTCAACGAATTTCCACATTTCATTATTTGGTAACTTGAGATCGTTAATCATTATCAAAAATAGCCAAGGCCACAATTTTGTGCCCTGCGGAACGCCTGCAGGTACGAGTTCCCACTCTGAAAAGCAATCGAATTTCAGCTTTACTCTTTGTTTCCTGAAGGAGAGGAAATCCATAATCCAGTGTAGAACCCATTTCGGTATATCAAATGAACGTAGTTTTTCAACCAATAAGTTATAATCAATCAGATCAAAAGCTTTCTTGAAATCCAATAACAGCACACGAACGGCCGCCCCGTTACCATCAGTTGCTTTATTCCACGACTGTAACATACTAAGAAAAGCTATAGTTGTGCTTGAATTTGGAATTTCCCCATACTGATTAGAGTCTATTTTCTTAAGTACAGCTGGTTTGACATAATTTTCCAGAACAAACTCCTCGGCTACTTTTGATACAATCGCAGTAAGTGATATAGGCCTTAAGTGTTTATTAATACCTCGTACAGGTTTCTGCTTTTGAATCCGTATAATATTTGCTTTTTTCCATGATTCTGGTAACCGGGCCTTTTTAAAGGAGCTGTTTATAATATCTGCCACGGTAGCGGCCAATAATTCAGCATTCTCTTTTAGAACCCAAGCGGGAATGCCGTCTGGGCCAGTTGCTTTCCTTGCGTTAAAAGCTGACAACATCTTAAAAGCAGTAAACTCAGTGACAGGCAACAACCTCGGGAAATCATCATTCTCATTATCAAAGCATAAATGTTGGGGCAGTGGGTTAAAATCTTTCATGGGTATTAGAAAGGATTCGTTGATCATGTTTGCAAGTTGCTCAGGAGAATGATCAGAGGGTGTTAGTGCATTATCAATATTTTGCAAGGTTGACATCATATCTTCCTGTGAAGAAACCGACGGTGAAATACCACTTAACTTTTTGATTTCCTTCCACCAACTTGCAGATGAACACGATTTTTAATGTTCTACTTTGTTTTGGTAAAAACTTTTCCGACAAGATTTTCTTTCTCGGTTTACTTTGTTTCTTAATTTCTTAAAAGATTCAAGATCTTTTTGTGCAAAAGCTTTTTCCCTTCGGCGGATCAACTGTTTTAGCGATTTGGTTATCCAAGGAGTCTCATTAGTGATCAGCACCTTCTTTTTTGTGGGGAGTAGGAAATCAAGACCAAAGTTAATAATTAGCTCTAACATTTTCATTTTGTCGTCACTATTTCTTCCTATCCACTGTTCGACATTAACTTCTTCTAAATATTTACCAAAGGCCGAACGTTTGGATGGTCGCAAATCCCTTGACATTACCATTACTTTAGTACCAGAGTTTTCAGATCTTTTTAATGATTGCATATCTACGGCGACATGATCGGATAGTCCAAAGGGAGGACGTTTAATTGGAGAATCGTAAAATTCTTTCAAATTTGTTGAAATCAAATCTAGGTTATTATTGCCACGAGTAGGGAAATTTACGATCTGACGCAATTGGAAACTATTCTTTAACAGACGAACGTTCAATTTGCTAAAATCACCCGAGGAAATTATCCCCCAATTTGGAAATTTTGTTTTAAGTGATAGTAGGGATTCAAAAAGATAATTGATCATAGACTCATCATTCGCCCCCGGTGGGTGGTCCAAATTACGTAAAATAATATTGGACACACCTCTTGGTAAGCGGGTTAGTCTTAGATCTAACCATAATGCTTCGAACTCATTTGTTAAAAGGTCTTGCAAGATGCTAAAGTTAATTGTGTTTCGAATATAGACGCAAACACCACCATAAATGCGTTCACGTCTATCGCGTCTAATTAAATTATATCCGGGTAGCGAGACAATGTTATCATCAATGACTTTGCAACCAAGTTTCCACGATGCATAAAATATCCACACTTAAACTGGCAACATACGCATGTAATTCATCGATTTTTGGGGCCAGCGACATGATATTAGACAACAATATGGATGGTACATATACATTTGGTGATCCACAACGTTCAAAGGATACTCTTGGAATAATACAATTGCTTTTGTTATGACCAGACGGTCTGCAACGGGAACGTAAGTTATAATGATCGCTTGGATTAAGAGACGATCTTACTAGTGTAGTTATTTTTCGAACGAACTCAAGCGATTGTGTGATAGACAAACAACACTCTAATGTACTATCTTCTTTTCCTTTAAAAATGTCTTTAACTATAAATTGATCGTGTTGGGGTTGTTGGCTGTCGCCTTTTCTATATAGCACAGACATTCTCTCCAAGACTTTTGTTGTTCCTCTCTGAATACTTTCGTCAGGCTGAATTCCATTGGTAATTTCTGTTGATGAGAATAACGATGCTGAAGATGCCAAGAAGTCAACTGACGATTTTGTAAAGGAGCTTGTTGATGGAAGTATTGGTGATAAGGGCATCGTTGGAACGACTGACGATGTCAAAAATGGGTTTGTTTTTGGCCTGTTGCGGTAGAATGTACTCGCTTCGTTACTCTATCACTTTGTGTGACTTTTAAGTCTTTATCTACTTCAGAATTAAAGTTGCTCTGATGTTTTCGTTGATGTTCGGTATTCTGAGAGACAAGTTCGTTGCTAGGAATGTCATTTCTTTGAGCCTGTTGGTTTTGAGTTTTAATCGTTTCGCTGACTTTACACCTTTGATAATTATTCCGCTGCTTGTATTTAAGCATTTATTACTAGGGAAATCTTTCTGATGTTTGCTTTGTTTCTTTCGTCGATACTCAATAAGCTGTTTATCAATTTGAACTTGAGTCGTTCTTCTACTCTTGCAGCCTTGACCTGCTGCAGGGGAGTTTACTGAGTCCCGCACGCCTACGCTTGTCTCGAGATTAGCATGT